GCTGCAGCTGGGAGGCTGCAAACAGCTGCTGACTCCTGGCCCTGGCCCCAAAGTGCAGTGCTGGCACCCTGGGGCCAGGAGACCGCCAGGGCTGGGGCGGGGAGACAGCAGCTGTTTGCAGCCTCCTGGCTGCAGCCAACCCAGGTTTTGGGTAGTTGCTGATAGCCACGGAGCTCAGGCTGGCCAGAGCTTGGGCCAGCTGCAGCTGGGAGGCTGCCAACAGCTGCTGCCACCCAGCCCCAGGCTCTGGGGAGGCAGCAGATGCTGGCGATGCTTCCTGCTGTGCTGCACTCCCTGCCGCTTCTGCAGAGCAGCGTGTGGAACCCAGTGCGGCAGGGCACATTGTGGGGGGGCACAGAAAGCTGCCTGCTGTTCCGAGTTCCCCACTGCCCTGGCCACACTTCCCCTGCAGGCAGGGGCAGCGGGAAGGGGCACAACCCTGTGTGCTGCTGATGCTGGTTCCGTGCACACAGGGGAAGTGTGACCCAGGCAGTGCGGAGCTTGCAGCAGTAGGTAGCTTCCTTGTGCAGCCCCTCTGTGCGCTGCCGCTCTGGGTCACAAATGCTGTGCTCCTGGCCCTGCTGTCCTCTCCTGGGCAGCAGGGAGTGCAGTGCAGCACAGCACAGCAGGGAGCATTGCCAGTATCTGCTGCCTCCCTGGAGCCTGGGGCTGGGTCTGGGTTTGGGAGGTAGATGGGACTGAGGCCGGGGCCCGGGAGGCAGTAGTTGTTTGCAGCCTCCCAGCTGCAGCTGGCCCAGGCTCTGGGTAGCTGCTGTTAGCCACAGAGCCTGGGCTGGGGGGCAGGGGCTTTGGGTGGGGGGCAAGGGCCATGAGCAGGGCTGGGGGTCTGTTGCGGGGGGGGATCTGCACAAAACAAATACACAAGATCAAAGGGAGTATCAGAAGTTTTATTTATTGCCACTAGGTTTACAATTTTTAGAAAATTTGGTATTTACTGTAAAAATAAATGAATAAAATAAAAGGGGGGCAACATTTTATGATTATTAACTATAATAATATGCAGTGTATCCTGCCATGTACCCCCTGCCCTTGTTTTTTTTGTGTTTTGTTTTGTGTTTTTTCCTGGCATGCTGTCACTCTGGCACCTTCCAAGGTAGACATTGTGGGGGTTTTTGGCACTCCGGTCAAAAAATGTTGCCTACCCCTGGGCTAACCCTTGACTTTGGTGGGGAGGCTGAAGGAACTGGGTTTATTTAGTCTGGAGAAGAGAAGACTGAGGGGGGTGGGATTTAATAACAGCCTTAAACTACCTTAAGTATGGTTAGAAAGAGGATGGAGCTGGACTGTTCTCTGTGGTGCCAGATGGTAGGACAAGGAGTGATGGTCTTTTCAAGGTGCAGCAAGGGGAGTTTAGGTTAGATAGGAGAAAAAGCCTTATCACAAGAAGGTAGTAAAGCACTGGAACAAGCTCCCCCAGAGAAATGGTGGAGTCTCCATCCTTAGAAATTCTTAAGACCTGGCTAGACAAAGCATTGACTGGGATGATCTAGTTGGGGATGGTCCTGCTTTGAGCAGGTGGTAGAACTAGATGGCCACCTGAAGTTTCTTCTAACCCTAATTTTCTGTGATTCAAAGATTGCATGCAACTCCCAGGCTGCCATTGGGCAGCTCTGTTTTTATTCTAACACAAAATATGTGTCTTATCATTGGAGTGTTGGGCCTTAAAGAATTTTTAAGGGATATATATGCTAGCAGAATCCTTTGGCACAGGCTTCCTGTATTTTGCATGAATTCATCTCACTTTAGATTACTGTACTGCATTTAAGGAAGTAAAAAAAAAAAAAAAAACCCCACCAAAAAAACCCAACCCCTTTTGGACTAACCTGTGGCTCTGCTTTCTGTTCAGGTGTGCTGCAAACAAGATTAATGCTTACCAAAGATGGTGTGAAAGTATTAAACTTTAAGTGTCACTTTGGTGACCCTGAGTGCCAGGTGAGTGAGAGATCTTGAATTTACTCAATTTTCTACATCAAAATGTAATAATTTACTTTAAAATGGATACACATCTCCTCTACCAGAAACATATGTATCTACAAGAGAAAGTCTTAGAAAACATACAGAGTAACTGTTAAAAAATGAACTAGTTGGCATTTATTGTCTCTGACATGTTCAGCTATTGTCTTTAAGTCAGTGAAGAGTTGTCATTCAAATACTTGTTTGAAGTAGGTAAAAGCCTATGCAGTTCCTCAAGCTAAATACTATTATTTCACGCTGGGCCTTCATAGGTGATTATTATATTCCATATCCTATTAGGAATAATTGCTGTAAATAAATGTTCATGAACTTTCTGAATCTGCAGATGTACACAATACACTATTTTCAGTCCCACAAGTGCAGTGTTTGCTCAGTAAGTTGAATTTCATGCATATCAGTTCCCTGGAGAAAAGCATGATTTTTTTTTTTTTTTTTAACATTGAATTCAGCAGTTGAGCAAAATTACATTTAGCTCTATTGCTGTGAACGTATCTTTGCAGGTAATTCTTCCACTGTTAAAAAATGACTTTTATGAAGTGATTCAAGCAATAATCAAAGGCAAACTCTGCAGCCTCATGCCAGTCTGGTCAGAAAACAGTACTGCTGTGTCTGTGGTTATGATAAGCAAAGGATACCCAGGAGACTATGCTAATGGCATGGAAATAACAGGTGAGTCTTTTTTTTTTTTTTTTTTTTTTTTTTTGATAGCAGTTACAAGAAGAAGGCATAGTGAGTCTGAATTTAGCCATTCTCCTAAAGAGCCATATTGCTGTTGGTCCAGTGCACGTGTGGAGGCGGAGCAGAGGTATAAGGAGTTTTTCTCCATAGCTTCCTGAATAGAGACCTTTCATAGTCATTTAGTGGATGGGGTATATTTCAAAGTCTCATGGAGTGAACTGTTTAAAGGTACCTTATTCTCTAAGGACCAGGCTCTGGTTTGAAATTGTGATGAGATAGGGCAGTAGAGCCCTAGCTGTCCCTGGAGGAATTCTGGAGACAGCAGAATTCTTCCAGAGGCAGTTCAGGAAGCTGAAGCACAGATTCTAGTTCATCCTTTCTGGCACCAGCTCTGCTTTACTGGCTGGTGGGTCAGGTGAGCTATCTGTCTTAGTCACAACACCTCTAGGGAGTGCATGCTAGAATTGGAGCTTTCCCTGTGCCAGCCTTGGCCTGTCCTTCCTCTCCATATATCATCTAGAAGTGCAGAGAGAAGGCCAAGTTATACCGCCCCCTCCTACTACAGCATGAAATTTCTGGAGCTAGACTGCCTTTAGATACTCCTGTTGCTACTACTTTCCCTCTCCAGCACAACCCTTGTCTTTATTTGTTCTGTAGTGTCTTAGACAAATGTGTGTTTCAGATGTTAAAGCTACACCTGAGGAATGCTGAGTTTTTACAAAACAGTAAAAGCAGGGAAGTCTTTCCCTTGCAAGGCCCATACTTTTCACAATTACAATTTTTTCTTTGTGTTTATTTCTGGTGTCACACACTTTCACATTGTACTTGCATGGACATGCAGTATTCTAGCACCTGTCTTAAGATCATGCCCACAGGCATTTACATTTGTATCAGACTCATGAAACACAGCCAGCTTTGGCTCACAACCTACATAGTGAGTCAACCCTAACAGCTTCACCAAAGCAGAAATGATTTAATCTGCTGATTTAAAAACTGTTTTTAGCTCTTTGTGAGATTGGGAGAGGCTTGATTTCTTTCTTTCTTTCTTTCTTTCTCTTTCTCTCTCTCTCTCTCTCTCTCTCTCTCTCTCACTGATATATATTGAAACAAATCAAAATGATTAGTTTACTTTAATAGTGACCAGGAATGATGAGAACCAGCTACAAGTATTCAAAGAGCGCCAGTGTCAAGGAGGGTGAAGAATTGATTGTTGTCATCCCAGCCAATTCAGAGAGATGTAGCAGAATGAAAATGAGAATCAAGGTTTAAATATTGTGTCATTGTGGACTAGCTTCTCAAGGGAAACCTGGTCTCTGAATAAGTTTGTTCAGTCCAATTTAAAATTATTATAAAAACCAGTATATAGAACCATGTGTGGGCAGGGAGATAATGTAGATGTCCTAATCCATCCCTCTTATCCTTGACTTCTGTTCTGTGAACTGGTGTTTCTTATGGCAATGTCAGTAAAAAAAGCCTAGGGTAAAGTTGGCATGTGAGCAGAAGTAACTTCCCACAAAGAGGAGTTCTTTTCAGGAGAGGGTTAAGCCATGTTAGGAGCTGTGGGAAAACTGGCAGTACTCCTGTCTGTGGTGTGCTTTTGCTACAAATAAAGAGAATATCACTTTCACCACATTGTCTGGTTTTAAAAAGTCATGAAACTTCAAGTTCTGCTTTCATTTGTAGGTCTTCTTCAGGCGAAAGAGCTGGGAGTGGAGGTGTTCCATTCAGGCACAACGGTGAAAGATGGCAAAGTGGTGACGAATGGTGGAAGAGTCCTTACCGTAACAGCTGTCATGGAGGATTTGATGTCAGCACTAGAACAAGCCAATGAAGCAGTGGCAGCCATACAGTTCCATGGTGCCATTTATTGGAAGGATGTTGGTTACCCAATTTTAGGATTTCTCTCACAGTCTGTGTATGTAAGCAAAGACACTAGTGGAGATAGGTAGTAATCAAAAAATCATCCAGACTGTTGCAGTTCTGTGATGGGCAACAGTTTTGTCACTGTTAAAAGAAATGTTCTATTAATTCTTTTCAGAGGCCCAGTATGCAAAGGAAGAAGCATGGAAACTTTGACCAGCAATATTTTGATTGATCACTGTGAACGACCAACTGAAAGTAATACCATATCAGGTAAAGTCAGGCCAGGGCTGCAAACTTGCTTGGTATTTTGAATGTAAAATGGATTGAAATGGGCAGAGTGGTCCTTCTATGCAGGTATTCATATAAGTAATGAGGCAATTATTGCACTTAAATTTGATTGGACCGGGACCTAAATGCTTCTTTTCTTCATCTTTTCCTTAACTACAGAATTGATCTAGTATAAGTCAGGGAAATGTCATTCCTGATTATTAAGATCCCTGGCTTGAACTTTGATGCACTAGACTACTGCAGTGTAGTTATTCAGGCCGTTGATATAATTGTAAATACAGCATATTATTGGGTAGTGAAATGACATTTTATCTCACTGGATAGCTGTTACTGTATATTTTCTGTCAGCCCCCCAGTGTTGTGGTAGCAAAGTGTAATATATAAAAAGTTGCTTGTGATCTTGTTAACCATAATTGAAGTCTGCTGCTTTTCTTTTTTTATTAACAACAGTAATACTCTCTGAGAAGGTTTTATGTTAGGCCTCTGGCAGACTTTACTTTTAAGACATGATTAACCAGTTAGGTGTTACAGTTATGTGTTACAAAATATGTGTAATAACTTTGTGGCTGTGCCCATCATGTCTTAAATTGCACGTGTGGCCAGGCATCAGTGAATTGGGGCTCCCAACCTTGGCGTACATGGGAGCTGTGATCAGCTGCCATTCCCAGCCTTGGGTGTGCGTTGGAGCCCTTGATGGTGCTGTGCCCTGGAGGCTGGGAGCAGGAGCTAATCGGGGTGCAGCCCTGAGTCAAGGACTGAGGTGTACTTCCAGGGCTGGGAGCAGCAGTCAGCTGATCGGGGCTCCCACCCTCTGGGGTGCATTGGAGCCTTTGACTCCCATGCACTCCTGAAGCTGGGAGTGACGATCATCTGATTTACTTGCCTCTTGCTGGTCCAGGGAAAACCCAGGATCATGACTACCAAAGTAGCTATTGTGCAGTTTTCACAGAAACTGTGATTTCAGGCAGGCTCTGCGCTTTTGGCGGGCTTGCTGATAAAATAAATAAACTTAACAGCAAGCAAAGAAAAGCTCACAGGAAGCCCTGCAACAGGCTGCTGCAAGCAGCCTTGCCCTGCCATCCTCTCCCCTGTGTTCCCCCTCCCCCTGGACTCCAAGACTACAGGGCTTCCCACACGCTTTTCTCTGTTTGCTGGTAACTTTTGCTTGTTTATTCATTTCATTTTTGCAGTGATCTCATCAAAAGCGCAGAGCCTACTGCTTGGGGATGGCCTGAAACTACAGCTTAATTACCATGATTTAAGCTTGGGGGAAGCCATTAATCCACATTTAATAATGTGTGGATTAATGGCTTCCCTGGGCTTAATCAAGGTAATTAAACTGTGGTTTTGGGCCATGTGGCAATCTGCAGGGAGGGGTGGGACTGTCAGGGCCCCTCAGCCGATCAGAGGTGTGGGGGGACCGCATGGCGTTCAGCCCATGAAAATGGCAGCCAGCCCCAGGATCTGCCTATGAAATCAGCTGGCTGCCTCCAAGTTTAGTAGAGTGTACTAAACTGGCAGTGTAGTGAGATTGGTTTGTGATCCCTGATCCCACAATCATGTCTCCTGCCATGCTACACGTGCATGGCAGGAGGTGTGATTGTGGGTTTGCACATTTAATCCCACGGCCTGTTTAACTGAACATCTGCCAGGGGCCTTGGTTATGTAACTGTGCTTTTAAAGTGGATTAAAAAGAGATACCAGCTGTTAGCAAATGACTGATAAATACTGTTCGCTACAGCTTACAAATATTGAGCAGTAAAACTAGTAGCATCACAAAATGTGAGTTTTGAGGTTCAGAATTTCACAAGATCATGCATATTTTTATCAGTGGTCACAATAAGTTGTTTTTTTTGGGGGGGAGGGGGCGGGGGGGTGTTTCTCCCCTTCCCCCAGCTTTAGTAATTTGCATGTGGAACACTTTTGGTCCTGACAACTTTGTCCTTGACATTTTTATACTTGGCAGGCAGCCATTCAGAGTTGGAAGGCTTTGCTGGTCTGTTTGACTTGAGAGCGTTTGGATATGATGATCCTATTTTAGTGTCTCGAACTAAAGGCCTTGGAACTAAATTGCAGGTAACTGCTAATGTGTCCAGAACTTAGCTGCTGGGGATTTTTTTTAGATAACTACAATACATTGTGCTCTGTGGATCTCTTATTATTGTAATGACATTACAAGTCCACACCAGTTGCATCCTGCCAGATGCTGTTACCAGATGCTACAGCCATCAGTACCAACAACAGAAAAATGTTGAATTTCTTTAGATGAAGATCACCAAGCTGTGTGTGCGTGTATTTTGAGAACGTAGAGATGCAGTGATTAAATTAGATGAAACTTAATGGTACAGAGTGTGAGATCATGCCCTAATTAGGAAATTAGAAATAGCTGGGTATATTAGCCAGTCACTGGATAAGACTGAGACACCTGTATGATGCAGCTATGACAAAGGCCTATGTGATCCTAAACTATATCCTATGATGTAGGATTTCTGAGCAGGGACAGGGACATCTTCCCCTACTGGGAATCTGGACAGACCCAGGGGAGGCACAGCCAGGCCCAGGGTCAGTGAGGACCTAGTCAGGAAACTTCTGGAGGGACTAGACATGTTCAGATTGGCAGGTCCCGACGATCTCCACCCCAGAGTGCTGAGGGAATTGGCAGAGGTCATTGTGGGACCCCTGGCACAGCTTTACGAGCTCTCATGGTGCTCTGGCAAGGTGCCACAGAACTGAAAAAGGGCCAGTGTGGTCCCCATTTTCAAAAAAGAGAGGAATGAGGACCCAGGAAACTATAGTCTTACCTCAGTCTAAGAAAACTATAGTCTTACCTCTAAATTGAGAAAATTATCCAGGAGCACATCTGCAAGGGGAGATTATGCTTAGAGGCAACCAACATGGGTTCATTAGAAGCAGGTCCTGTTAGACCAACCTGGTGGCCTTCTAAGACCAGGTCACAAAAGCCTTAGATGCAGGTGTCGTGGTGGACGTAGTCTTTCTGGACTTTAGGAAGGCCTTCGACACTGTCTCGCACCCCATCCTCATTTAAAAAAAATTAGGCAACTGTGGTGTTGATGCCTACACAGTCAGATGGGTCACAAATTGGCTGGAGGGCCGCACCCATAGAGTGGTGGTGGACGGGTCATTTTCAACCTGGAGGGACGTGGAAAGTGGGGTTCCCCAGGGCTTGGTCCTCAGGCCCCCACTATTCAATATCTTCACTGGCAACTTGGACGAGGAGGTGAAAAGCACCTTGTTAAAGTTTGCAGATGACACTAAGATGTGGGGAGAAGTGAGCATGCTAGAAGGAAGGGACAGGCTACAACTAGATCTGGACAGGTTACAGAGGTGAGTGGATGAGAATAGGATGGGTTTTAACACTGACAAGTGCAAGGTATTGCTCCTGGGGAGGAAAAACCAACAGCATACCTACAGGCTGGGGAACTCCCTTCTTGTCAGCACAGAGGCAGAAAAGGATCTTGGAGTCATTATAGACTCCAAGATGAACATGGGCTGCCGATGTGGGGATGTAGTCAGGAATGCTAACTATACCTTGTCATGCATTCACAGATGCATCACAAGCAGGTCCAAGGAGGTGATCCTCCCCCTCTATGCGACATTGGTCAGGCCACAGTTGGAGTACTGCGTCCAGTTCTGGGCGCCGCACTTCAGGAAGGATGTGGGCAGCATCGAGAGGGTCCAAAGGAGGCCACTTGCATGATCAGGGGACAACAGGGTAGGCCCTGTGAGGAGAGACTGCAGGACCTGAACCTGTTCAGCCTCCACAAGAGAAGGCTGAGAGGGGACCTAGTGGCCACCTACAAACTTGGCAAGGGGGACCAGCAGGCAATGGGATAGTGCCTGTTCCCCCAAGCACTACCGAGAGTTACAAGGAATAACGGCCATAAGCTGACTGAGAGTAGGTTCAGGCTAGACATCAGGAGGCACTACTTCACAGTCAGGGCGGCTAGGATCTGGAATCATCTTCCAAGGGAAGTGGTGCTTGCTTCTACCCTGGGGTTCTTCAAAAGGAGGCTAGATAATCACCCAGCCAGGGTCATTTGACCCCAGCATCCTTTCCTGCCCATGGCAGGGGGTTGGACTTGATGACCTGCTTAGGTCCCTTCCAGCCCTACCAACTATGAAACTGTTTCCAGGAGAGAGAGAGAAATATAATGCCATTGTCTAAGGCAGTGGTGAGACCTCACTTGAAATACCCTGACAGTTCTGGGTACCTGTGTTCAAGAAATTAATTCCGAGTGGTATAGGTGTACCTAAGGGCCACTAGAATAATCAGGGAAATCAAGAATCTGTCATATGAGAGGAGACTAGAAGAGCTGAACTTCACCAAGCTTAGCAAAATTAGTGCAGACTGGGGACCTGATTTTCTAGATACTTCGGGGAGAGAGAGGTAAATACTGAGGGAAAAGAGCTGTGTAAGCTAATGCACAGTGTTGGCACAAGAATAAATGGGTCTAAACTAGCTACAAATAAACTCGGGATGAAAATGTAGAAGATTTCTAAACATCAGAATGGTGAGGTTCTGGATTAGCCTTCCAAAAGAAGTTACAAGAAGAAAACTCCAAAATGAAGCTTAATAAGCTTACAAAGAGGACTGGCTGACACTTACTTTTGACAGAAGGGGACTGCACTCTTAGCTTAGGAAGTCCCTTCCAATCTTTCTTATATTCTTGTGATCTTAGGCTTTGAAATGCCTCTTATCCCAAAATTCTGGCTGGTGCAGACTCTAGTACCAGTCCTTAAGCCACCAGTTTAGTAGAGGGCTGTCCCAACTCTCTCTTTCTAATTGTCCCATTCCCAAGACCTTTTCTTGGCCTTTGGTGCCAGTCAGGGTTGCCATAAGATCAACAAGAGTCATCCTTATAGTACAACAAAAGGTTCTTGATAATTTGCCTTCATGATGATTTGAACCGCACTTGTGTGAGGTAAGACGGACCAAAATTATAGACCAAATCCAAATGTGTCAGAACCCCATCCATTCCATCCTGAAACCAATGAGAGACTTTACTTGGGTTTTTCTTCCAATCTTTCTATGCTGAATTCTTCTTCACTGCTGTAACCAGTATAGCTACGTTAGTGCAATCTCTTGCTGTAGACTTGGCCTAATGTCCTGCCTTACTTATGTAACATTTGTTGTCATTTTACATGTTGTGAGGGAAGCCCCCTTTTATATCTGTGCACCGTGTCTGTGTTAGTAGTGGTCGCCAATGTAACTTCATTGGTGTAGCCACAGCAGTGCAAAAAGCTGCATTTGTCCTTATGTTCATACAAACTTTCCTTCCTTTAGAGAAGCCCCCATTGACAGTTGGGTTAGGTTCCACTTCTGATGGGGAGCAAAGACACATGGGAGCAGGCAATACCATATACATTTAATACCATATGTATTTAAAAAAAACAAAACACTTAAGTCCTTCTTATGGAAACAAGATTTAATCTGGTGGCTTTCCATTCAAAGACTCCAAAGAAGCCTAAAGAAAAGACTTGTGGTGTTAATGTTGATGAGAAGGGGTTCTTGTAGAATGTCTTTAAAAGGCAGTTTCATTGCCTTAGACTTAGAAGAGAATTATTTAATGAACCTCTCCAAATTCTGTAGGGTGTTACATCAACATAATAGGCTAAGTAATAGAGAATGCAAAAGCATACTTAAGCATTGCACTGTATAGAACCACAAATGTATGTACTGAGTTAAATTGTTCCAAGAGAACCAATGGGCACCCTGTGTCACTTTCAGATGCTAGTTGTACCATGGGCAAATAGTTTTTTAAATACTGAAAGGACAAATTCTGTATAGTCAAAGCTAGGAGAAGGGCCTGCCTTTCCAGAAGTATTACATTTGTGCACTGTTTAATGGAAGTCAGTAGATTGATTCCTGATAGTTTGAACTAGATCAGGGGTGTTGAACTCATCTGTCTGCCCAGGCAGGATTAGATATTTGGACCTGATCTGGTGGAGGCTGGTCCAGAGCCCACAGGACTGGAAATTTGATGGCAGTGCCACTAATGTTGGTGGATTTTCCTACTGCCAGATTTTCAGCCTTGTGGGTTCCATTGCAAACCAGTTGGGGCTGGGAATGAGTAGCAGCAGTGTTGATTGCCATGGCTCCAGGAGGAAGTGCCATGACTGTTCATCCCACTGTTAAATTTCTGGCCCTATAAGCAGCCTTCCTGGCTGAATCCAAAACACAGAACCATGTCATCTGGCCTCCAGGGCAGAAATTTGGTAGTGGGATGAGTTGGGGCTGCCATGGCTCTGGGAGCTGTAGCAATTAACACTATCACTGCTCACCCTGACACCAAATTTCCAGCCCCTTGAGGATCCCTTTAGGCCAGCTGACAACAGATCTTGTAGGCCTTGTCTTTGACTTCCTTGAACTGGATGATCTAGTGCAGCTCTTTGTGATCTCTAATTTCTGCTTCCTTTCACACTGGTAAGATAAGGTTCTCTTACTCTGCTGTTGCAGATTGCACAGGTGTGTAAGAAACACAATACCGTTGGTCAGGACTTGGTTGCTGTGTGCATCAATGACATCCTGGCCCAGGGAGCAGAGCCCCTCTTCTTCCTTGACTACTTTGCCTACAGTAAACTTGATGCTGAAGTGACCCAGGTCATCAAAGAAGGAATAGCTGATGCTTGTAGAAGAGCAGGATGTATCCTTTTGGGTAGGAGCTCTCCCTTCCTGCAAGGGACTTGAATGTTCTGATATTGAACTACAGAAAATAAGAGAGACATCAGTAAATATGAGAGACCCAAGGCACTATGCCAGTCACAGGTGCTGGGCCTCATTCTCTTCTCTCGCTCAGTCTCTTGTAAAGGAGAGCAGAATTGGACCCATCAGATAGCACCCATTTTAAGTGCCTAAAATAATTCTACTCCTTCTAAGCAAAAATATGAGGACTTTTTTTTCCTTGAAGAACCATTTTGATTTTGTTCCAGAAATTGGCATATAGGCAGTCTTTTGCCTTCATGCTGTTACTTTTTTTTTTATATCTCTAAATTTCATTAACCTTTTGGGGGTTTTTTTCTCCCCCCTCATCTCTGGAAATCAGAAAGAAGCAGTTCTGAATTTTCTTTCAAATGTGAATTTTAGTTACAGGTGCCTTTTGTACCACATAGAATTTAATTTCCCATTTCAGGCTTGATGTGTATAACCTTAAAAATAAAACATTGAACATATATATACCCAGTACTGAAGTCTTTCTTCCTGCTCTAGGGAGAGAGATTGCCGAAATGCCTGGCATGTATTCACTTGGAGAGTATGACCTTGCTGGCTTTGTAGTTGGTGCAGTGGAACGAAGACAGATGCTCCTGAAGCTGGAGAAAATTGCTGATGGGGATGTAGTTATTGGACTAGCTTCTTCTGGGATTCACAGCAGTGGGTTTAACCTTGTAAGGAAGATTCTCTTAATGTCCTCTCTACACTACACTGCTCCAGTACCTGGTGGATGTGATGACCAGACTTTAGGTATAATATTTGACTTTTAAATGTAAAACTTTTTAAGAAAGCATCCAAACTGGATGAATTTCCAAGAAGATGCAGGCAAAATTCCTTGACTCCAAGACTGAATTTCCAATCTGTGGTTGCCTGTCAGGGCTGTGTGAAGCTTCAATCCCTGATTCGGTTCAGTGGTGATTCGGACCGATTCGGTGGCCAAATCTCAATCTGAATTGAATCAGGAGACCCTTTAATCTGTCTGAATCAAATCGGAACCCTCCAAATCGATTTGGACAGATTGAGCAATTTGGACGTAGACACAGCTTTAAATGTTTTTTTTCTACATATCTCTAGGTAACAGGCAGCTTGTGAGTGCTGCAATGATGGGGCGGATGGAGTGTCCTACAGAAGTGTGGGGGGTCCCCAGTGCGCTTGGCAGCAGAGCCAGAAGTGGACCAGAAGCACTTTCGGTCCGCTTCCAGGTCCACCAGGGAGTGTGGTGGGGGGCCCCTCTGTACGCCCGTGGCTCATCAACTGGTGTCGCCTGGGTCTGGCAGGGCACCCAGGGTCCTCCCACAGCCAACTGCTGAGCTGGGGGATGCAGGGGGGCCCCCTCGCACACTCTGTGGCAGACCCGGATGTGGGCCTGGAGTACTTTATGGTTCACTTTTTGGGTTTGCCGCCGAGCACATGGAGGGCCCCCAACACTCCTGTGGGATGCTCCATGTGCCCCAGCATCGCAGTGTTCAAAAGCCGCACTGGTACCTCAAGGTATGTAGAAAAACATTTTAAAGCTGTGTCTATGTCTGAATCACTGATTCTCCAAATCGGCATCGAATGTTCAGATCCCGATTTGGCCCAATTGAGTCGGGGACAGTGATCCAAATCAATGAATCAAATCGCTGTCCCCTGATTCAGGTCAAATCCAAATCGAATAGGACCCACTTCGCACACCCCTATTACCTATGCTCGTGGATCCAGTTCCTTGGTTTCTGACATCAGCCTTCTCCTAGACCTGTTCTCCACAGTGTGCACTTTTTTCATATCTTTTCCATCATGGAGGGAACAAAGAAGCACGCTGATTGAAGGAGCACTTTTTGCACTACATGATACAAGTTTCTCTGCCTTGGTTTTTGTCTGTAATGATTTGATAAACATTTCTGTTCACAGGAGAGCTGTTGCTAACCCCAGTAAATATGTACAGCAAGTCTCTGCTTCCAGTCCTTCGTTCAGGGCATGTGAAATCCTGTGCTATTATTGCTGAAGGAGGCTTGATGAAAAGCATCCCAAGAATCCTTCCTGAATCATGTGGTGTTGTTTTGGGTAAGTAAACAGTAGGAACATGTCTCTAGGTGTTGTGTATGTAAGGTATGGTCCTGATTTTCAACTTTGTCATAAGAGTACTTAGAAATACCTCTGGCCCAACATGTTTATAGATTTTAAAAGTGTCAGAAAGCTATGTAGGCCGTAAGCAGCATCCATCCACGATGTGGAGAAACTGAATTCTTTGACCTAGCTTCTCCAAAATAAGCATTCAGATTGAAGTTTAAAAGCTTGGTAAAGAGGCTAAATTGTACTACTTGCTCCATAATGTGTATGTATTTAACACAGTTTTATCAAAAGGAAGTAGATTTTCCAAAGTTAAACTTCTAGCTCAATTTCTATTGCAGAGCTAATTTTGGCCACTGCCAAAATCCACAGCACCTGGATATCTGCTGCAAAAACAGCACAGGATAGCTTTAGAATTTATCTGTAAATTTTGAGATGAGCTGGAAGCATATTTCAAAATATTAAACATAGATGTCCCACAGATTCCAAAATTTCTCCTGCTCTGTTTTGTTCAGTGGAATTAAGGTAGAAAAAACCCTAAAACCTGGATTCTTTCAGTTGTACCCTAGACCAAAGATGACTAATTTTAATTGTAAAAGTTGTTAGGATTTTACAAAGTGATGTCAGAATGGCAGGTTGGCTGTAGTGGGCTTCCAGTTTATATCTTCTTTTCTCATAAAAAATGCAAAGTCTGCTTATCAATGAAGAAACTTCACCACAAAATCCAAAGCTAAACTAGCTAAATTGTTTGAAAATTAAGGTATAATAGATGAAGTGTTTGTCATAGTTAGATAATTTGTTCGAAGCTTTTTTGCCAGAGCCTGTGCTGGGAGCAGGTGGTTGGAGACTCTTCAAGTGGAGTTTAATGGGTTCATTTAGTTGAGATACAGTGTGCAGGACCAAGCTCCTGAAGATTGTCAAAGAGTTCAGAGATGCTAAAATAGGAAATAGCACAGCAGGCTTTGATGTTTTGTAATGTTCCTGATTAAATTAGGAAAATCAGCTGGGTGCTGATGAATTCACAATGTTTGCCAAGCCACTGGCTCAGCTGCAGCACCCCAACTCCACCATCAGCATGCATCTGTGTACACAGCAATATCCACAGCAAATGCCTTTCCTGAACCTGACAACTGAACTGCTGGAACAGCCCAGAGAATCTAGCCCATGGCCTGGCCATAAACAAGCTCTCCACTCTAGCAAGAAGACTAGAGCTTTGCACTTCTGATTGATCTAGGACAGTGGTGCCCAACCTCTTGCCTGGCAGGCCAGATGGACAGTGCCTGTCAGTCCCTGGGCTGAATCCGACTGGTGGTCCTGATCTGGCACCCAAGGCAGGCGTGATGAGTCCCTGCCTGGCCACACAGGAGATGGGGTAGCTCAGCCCCAATCTAGCCACGTGGTGGAACTACCCCAGCCCCAACCTGAACCCACAGTAGGGGAAGGCATGTGGCCCAGCCCTGATCTGGTAATGCTGGGGAAGGGCAGGGAGGTGGCATGGCTTGGCCTGGATCTAGCTGTGCGAGTGGAGGAGACGTCGCCCAGCTCCGGTCCGCTGTGCAGGGGGTACTGTTAGCTGCCACTGCTCCCCACTGCCAAATTTTCCTTCTGTGGGGAGCCCCTCAGGCCAGGTGCCAAGGCTCTGTGGGCCACTTATGGCCTGTGGGCCAGAGGTTGAGCACCCATGATCTAGGGTGTGTGTCACTGTTCTGCTGCTCACATATATTAGTATGTTTTTAATGGGCCGTGCAAAGCCTCTAGCCTCCTGTTTTTAACATTTATTCCCATAAATGTTAACAGGACTTGGGCAGCTAACTCTGCAATACTTTTGAAATGTAGAGGACAGTGTTTGTGGCTGCTTGTAGACAACAATTTTGTTGACCTATAAGAATTTCACCCATCTTTTTCAGATGCTCATAGCTGGAAGATACCCCAGATCTTTTCCTGGCTCCATAATGAGGGGAACCTCTCAGAAGAAGAGATGGCCCAGGCATTTAATTGTGGGATTGGTGCTGTCTTGGTGGTACAGAAGGAGTTGGCTGAGCAGGTTCTGATGGACATAAAGAGACATGAAGAAGCGTGGGTGATAGGGAACATTGTCTCTATGCGCACAGGTTACTGGGCCTCCTACCTAGAAATAAGGGTTAGAGGGGGAAGAATTTCACTTGTTATGTTCTGATCCAAAATTCATTGAAAAAAATGAAGTCTTCCATTGACTTCAGAGGGAGTGTGCCATTTAATCTATGTGCTGACACAAACCAAAGTGTTTTGGGTCTGATCATGTGAGGTGCTGGGTACCTCCTGGAAGATGCTCAAATCCATCTCACTAGAAATTGGTGTTCCAGGGACTGTCTGCTCTGTGAGATGTTTTACTTGTCACCTTTGCTCATGTCTGAAGGATCTGCTCCTGTGAAAGTCAAGGATCTCCTGAAAGCCTTGCAGTTACATGGATCCCAGTGTCAGCAGAATGCTGCTCTCTTGGACAGTCACCTCCAGCCCAAAAAGAGCAAAGTGAAAGTAGCTGTTCTCATCTCTGGAGCAGGTGAATTTGCATTTTTCATAGCCCAGGAAAGCATCCCTGTATCTGGGAAGTCTGCTTGTAAGCATGTATAGCTCCATTTACTGCAGTGGGAATATCAGGAGGGGCATTAACTGTAGATTGGCAGTATACTGGGTTTGGGCAGTTGCTTAGTTCAACTAGTCTTTTTTGTTTCCTGGGTGCACTTGCCCCACATGAAACCTCCTACTTCAATCACTGCTCAACAACACACGTAACATAATCCACAGAGGGGGACTCACAGTCCTGTGGTCTCTCCAGCCCCTGAAAAGGTGTTGTCAGCATTGTGCTGCTCCCTCAATGCCACAGTACAGTCCTCCTTCTCCTTCTCTCCCTCAAGTGAATTCCCTCCTGTAGCCTCAAGGTGCTTCTGCCTCCAGCTAGCCACCCTGGGTCTCTTACAAGACCCTGGGAGAATCCTTGGCTTGGTTCTGCCACTGCTAGCCAAGGACTCTCTCCTGCTCCCCAGTCTCTCCCCAAGTTCTCTTCCCTAGGCGCTGTTAGCTTCCTGTGGTCAGCTACTGTTAGCTGCTTGGTCTCCAAGGCAGCCTGCAATCAGGCTTTACTGCCCACAGCTAGGCTGTAGTCCCTGCCAACCTGCAGGCTCCTACAGCTGGGAGTGTGCAGGTTGCTGCAAGCTTCTGCCAGCCAGCCAGGTACAAGCAGTCAGTAACTTTTTCTGGCTGTGGGCCTCAGGTGGGCAGACACTGGGACCCTCCAAAACCTTATGTTCACAGGCCAGATCCAATGGCTCCCCAGGCTCACTGGTCATAAATTGTCGATGCTTGGTGCAGATCCTTGAGAAGGGGGTGCCAGAATGAATTGGCAAGGGACTGGATCCCAGTTGGTCACCTAAGCTCCTAAATTTCACACTGTTTGTGAGCAGCGATACAGACTGTGGCTGTTGGAGCAGGGTCACAATCCCTTGGGTGTCTAAATTCATTTAGTGTCTCCATTTTGACCATAGGTACCTGGACTAAGCCTTGATCCTGGAACTCCCTCCTTCTGTAGAGGTATCCTCAGCATTGGGGTACAGACTTGGGCTCCTCTCCTTCTTGCCCCATGGATTGTATATTTGGCTACCCAAGGGGCCAGCTTGGATAGGATTGGTGGAGTGCCCTTGCCCAGATTATTCTATGGCCGGGTTGTCCAGGCTTTTTTGTTTTGCTTTTGTTTTTTGAGAGGTTGGAGACTTGAGTCGGGTAGGCCCAGACTTCTGGTCTTCCACTTTCTGGGCATGTGCTGCAACTCTTATGCAAAAAGTGAGCACCACCACCACTAGCCAGCTGCTCACTGACATGGATCTTAATCCACAGAGGCCCCTGATATTCATCCCCGAGTCAGACACCAAAGCTCTGGAGAAGAGCAGGAGTCCAGACACCCCTGTGCCTCATGTCTTATAACCTCACTCCCTGTTAGGCATATCAGTGCTCTGGCTTCCTTATCAGGGGTTCCCTGCTCTCTCCATTTACTCTGCAGGGACCCTTGGTACCTAGCTCCCCGCATTGGGAATCGTCCTTCTAGGCCAAGGAACCTGGGTTTTTTGCAGGTTGCAGTCATTACACGAAGCAGACCTGGAGTGTTCAGTACAAGTCAGCAAACTCCTTCTGCAGCTTGTCAAGCTGCTTGTGTGTTCATGTTGTGCTCTGGCTTGCAAATGATACAGAGACATCTGTGTGGGATAGGTCTCGGTTGCCATCTGAAAGGTAGATATCCATCCCTGTGAGTAACTCCGACACTGGGGAGCTATGTGGGAGAGCAGCAATGAACCTTCTACCCAAAGCCACAGAGTCGGTTTGCTGGAGTAACCTCTCTGGGCATTCCTCTTCTCCTCCCCCCTCCCCCCACTTGTCCAAATTCCCCTGCATTCTGGTTTCTCCAATGAGCATGCTTTCTGGGTCCTACCGCAGTTATGTTCTGGGTGAAGTTATAGGCTTTGACCATTTACATGTTTGAATGCTTCTGGTCATTGGCAGTTTGTGAGAAGAAAGAACACCCGTGTCAATTTTTCTCCCTGGAAGAGAATTGGTTTAAAAGACTTATCAACAAAGTTGTACATTCCTGAGGTGGAAGGTGACTCTCTTCAAACAGATAACTTGTTCTTCCCCAGCTAAATGATTTTTTTGTTGTTCATTGATTCTACTTTTGCTCTGCAGTAAAGATTTCCTCGAGCTATTACATACCTGGAAAGCTGAAAGTTCAGAAGGAGCACTTGGTGAATAGCCTGTGCTTGCTCACAGCTGTTGAGGACAGGCACGACTAAGCCACTGTGGTCCTGTTATATAGAAGCCGACGGGAGCATGTGGGTGTCTGCATCCACAGCCAACTGAAAGCATCTCAGTGATGTGACTCTCCTTTTGTTGTGTAGGGGAATGGGGCAGGATCCACTGGTTAGTGATCGCCAGAGACAGCCATGTAGTGCTGTCATGGGCTGCTGCAGCTGTGGGGTTCTGGAAGCAGCCACAGAGACCAGGGCAGGGAAAGATTCCTTCCCACTTGTCTCAGCATTGAACTCCCTAAGCCAAGCCTAGTACCTTGTTTTGATATGTTTTCCTCCAAATCCTACCCTATTCTACACAACAGAACCCCCAGTGACTCAAATGTCCCTAGCCCCAGCTGACAAGAACAAGAGCAGCCTTCCATGCTTTGGCCTACCCTTTTCAGTCATGGTGCTGCTTTTGTAAAGTCAGTTCCCAGGGTAGCAGAAAGGAAGTTAGCTCTGAATGTTCAACTATATGCAAATGGATTTTAATACCCGTGTTTCTGCAAAAAGGTGTCTGCATGAGGCACAGCAGCCCTGCAGGCCTGTAACTTAGCTGCATTCTGATCTTTCTTTAGTAAAATCTTTATTGAATTATTTCATGCTTAAGAATACATTGCAAATCATGGCAGGAGTGGGGAGTATATAAGCCTTCTATCCAGAAGTATTGCCTTTCTTTATAAGATATGGGGGGAAGGAGCCATGTGTTTGTAGAGTACATACTACAGTGGTACCCTCATCCTATTAGGAGCCTCTGGGCAACACCATATTATTAAGTGATAATGTGGAGCCAGGTTATTAGAATGGTGGTGTGCAGGGGCAGAAAAAAAGCATAGTTTACTATGGATAGCAGTTCCAGCTTTTCAGCAGGCTTCTGTCACTGCTCTTGAAAAATACATGTGCGTGGCTTTTCACACACATGACAAGCACTTATGAGCCCTTGAAGGAGTTCAGGTGTGCAAACTGGACACTTCCATGCTGTGCCTGAACAAATATCTGGGAGTACCCACATTCAGGATGGGTTCTCTGGAACCAGATGCGTCTGCACAAAAATGGTAGGCTTGTTAATGGAAGCCAAGAGGTGTGGAACACAAACTTTGTGGACCCAAATCACATCATTTGTTGTATTAGAAAGTTAATGGCCTGTGGTTAGGAGTCGGCTGTCTTACATAGATGTGCAGCCCCTGTTACATGACTGGTTCTTTTTCTCTCCCTTTTTATTTGAGGTACCAGCCTTGCGGCACTTATTGCTTATGCAAAAGAACCAGCAAGCTGTGCCCAAGTGGCCCTTGTCATCTCTAACAAGCCTGGGGTGGAAGAACTGAGGAATGCAGCCAGGGCTGGGATTCCCACCAGGGTAAGAACATGCAGTTCCTGTCTAACCCGTCTAACAGTTCATGAACTTTACAGGTCTGGGAGAAGCTCTTGCTAAATAGTTCTTGCTCCAGACTTATTTAAACTTTTTTATGTTTGCTATGTACTTGTCAGGTGCAGCTAGCCTTGTTAGTCTGAAGTCAAGTAGAAGGCAGGGTAGATTTGCACCTTATCACTGTTACCAGCGAAGCAAGAAACAGTGGCATCTCTTGTAAGGCAATGGAAATTTAGTCTTTCAATCAACTTCCATCAGTTGGGAGTAGGGCTCCATACATTTAAGTGTCACTGATTTCAGTCTGTCTACTTACTTCACAGGATCTTTGAGCGAGTGTGAATTCAGAATGGGAGAGTATCTGTCTCTGTTGTACTTTTCCACACTTCTCAAAAGTCTTAGGAAAAGTGTTACAGAGTATCCTTTCCTGGCTGGCAGCTGAGCTAGAGGAAATGGTGGGGCTTTTCATACGCAACTCGAAAGTAGGTTTAGACTGGTCCCTACACAAAGCTGAAGAGGGCAGGAATGGGAAAGGGGTGTGAATGAGCACTCACAAAGTTGTGATATACTTTTTTGACAAGACAACTGTTTGGGGTTTAATTGATTTGTATTTTTCCTTATGTGTTCCCTGTGCCTCTCTTATTCTTATGCATTCAGTTCTTTGGGTGTGTTTTAACATTAGGTGATTGACCATAAATTGTATGGCAGCCGCTCTGAATTTGACGGCACAATCGACAGAGTCCTTGAAGAATTCTCTGTTGAACTGATCTGCCTGGCCGGATTTATGAGAATTTTGTCCAGCGCTTTCCTCAGAAAGTGGAGTGGTAAGAAACCAGGGTAATCATTTCTTCCCAGTAGCTGTAATAAAGGCATGAAGAGACTGAGTGAGACTGGACCTCTCCAGCAGCTATGCAGTAGGGCCCTGGATTACCAATATGGAGACAGCCTGACACCTTTACTTGCATTGAATAATGCCTTAGTCATGGCATTTCAGTTGTATGCTCTCATTCATTTATTCATGCCAGTGAGGCTATGCTATAAGCAAAGCACTAGACAGAGACAGTGTGGCCTGGCTAGGCTGTTGGCATGGTGCTAGTGCAGGGCACCTCTATGCTATAGCATGCGGTAGCAGCAGAGGTAGGAAAGCAGGAGCCACAGAGTCACAGGATTTATGTCTATTCCCTACCAAGCCATGTCTGTCTCTGCTCCCCTTGTGGCTTTGGAGCTGCTTGGCCTATGGATAGCAATCTTGGCTGGCCCATGTGGATGAGGTAGGGAGGCTGCAAAGCAGGTGGAAGCTCATTTCTGTCCCTTGCAACCTGCCCAAAGACATCACTATACCAGGGGGTGAAAGGGCTTTGGGTGTGGACCTGCCCAAAACATCAGGGAATCCGGGACAGACTCGAGAGTTCTTTCTTCCTCTGGGGCTGCTCCAGAAGCAGTGCAGCATGACAGTATCCTGTACTCCAGCTTGCCATGAACATTAGGGCAGCAGTTCCCAAATTCTGACAGATTATGCACCACCAATTTAAAAATGATACAACCTTAAGTACCACCAGTACATTTTTAATAGACTTATTATACTTACTTTATATGACAATGTGGGCCACTGACAGGTTGCTTGCATGCCTACTGGTGGTACTCGTACCACAGATTGGGAACCGCTGTGGTAGGGTATTAGAATCTAACTTTTAGGGACCTGGGTTCCTTCACACATGCTCCTTGCCCAGAGTGGTAGGGGATATATACTCTAGATTTATATTTACTCAGAGGGCTGCTCCTCCCTCTCAAATGAATCCTCTGTCCTAATTAACATTGATTTATTTCCTGAGGCCACACCTAGAAGGCTTTTCTTTTTAGTTGGTCCTTGAAGAGCATAGGTCACATTTGGCTGTGAGGCTGCACAACCTACTCTTTCTTCCCCCTGTCCTGCCTCCTAGGCAGAGCAGTGACGTGGAACTGCCATTCAGGAGAGTAGACAAAGCCTTACCACCTACACCTCCCACTGGGCAGATGACTGTCTCTTAGCCTTAGCTCACATCTGCTTTAGCTTGGATTGCCCCGGTCTCTGTACCTCGCCACCGTGGCCCCTGAAAATACGATATTTAATAAATTACTTCAGATCTAGCGCCTCCAGCACAGTTCCACTTATCTTGCTGATGTATAAGGTGAGAGCCCCTGATTTGGCTCTGACTTTGGCTGGAACCTTTCAGACTGTTGAATGACACTTAGGGCCCTTGTGAGCAGAGAGATTTACGTGTTGTGAGTCATTCCTCAGCTAATGTTGAAGGGAATTCGTCTAACTTTATTTTATCTTTTTTTCATGCTAATATTTAGGAAAAATTTTGAATGTTTATCCATCACTTTTGCCACCAGCGAAAGGGGGAAATGCCTATAAGTCAGTGCTCCAACCAGGCCACAGAGTGACTGGCTGTACAGTGCATTTTGTACTGGTAAGTATGCCGCTGCCTATGAGAATTGCTCTAAATATATGCAAGTGACGAGTATTGCTTGTTTTAGTCATCCCTGAATGGCATGAACAGTGACTGGCTAACTGCAGTCTAATGCACTTGTCCCTGGAATTAACAAAACTATGAAGAGTTGGGAGCTTGAATTCCTGTAGGAAGGTCAATTGATGAGTAGGGTTGTACAAAAATGGGTCTTAGCCCAGCAGGCACCTGTACTCAAGGCTTCCTCTCCCATTGAAGCCTGTCCTTGCAGTGGTCCTACCCCCTCACAGTGCCTTACTTCTGCTCTCTTTTATCCCTTCCCTCATACTCAACAACTTGTTATCCTTTCTTTCCCCTCACAGAACAGACCTGGGCCTGTCCTAGTCTCTCCTACAATCCCACTTCTTCTTAGGCTGCCACCAGAGATCTCCTCACCTCTCTTTCTTTACTCCTTAAATGAGCAGTCACACTGATACTGTTCTCCTCTTCCAGTAGACTGCCCTTGCTAGTGCAAATGCTCTTATGAGGAGATCTAGTGACCCCTTCCTGCTCAGATCTCAGGCTCTCTGCTGTATATATGCACTGTTCTCAACCTTGCTTGAAACTTGCATGTGCTTAGAAGGGGATGGCTGTGTGGCAAGCCAATAGGGGGTGCTCCTGTGCTGAGCAACTTGCCCCACTGCACCCAACCAAAACCATGTTTCAGGTGTCTCCCCTGGGGTGCCCACGTCCTGCCAACCCAGTTCCTGGAGCACGCCCGCAAGCCTGGTGTAACTGCTGCCACCACCCTAGGTCTGATTTTTGTTAGGGCCCTGTGCCACCCAGGGTACACGGACCCTGTAGACCTTGGGGGTACTTCTTATAACCAGAAGCATAGAAAGTAGCCTCCCTTAGTCAGCCGAGCAAAGGGAGCAAAAAGGGTTGCCTAATCCCTCTCAAACATTTACAAGGCTTGCTATATCGGATAGCTTTATTGGGTAGAGAGGGTAGGCATAGGGAGGGGTACAATTCAGAGAAGTAACAAAAGAACAACCCTGAGCAAATGGAAGTGGCTTGATAGCCTTATACTTCTAGAACACTTTATTCTAAGTTACTGGCTAAATTTCAGGTAGGTTATTTGCATGTTCATTCAGAGTCTAAAAGAGCTCCAAAGGCCATTTGTTTGTCTCTGTGTTCCCCAAAGATGTCCGACCCCATCCAACATGGAGGGACCCTCTTAAATAGTCCTCCTGACCTCATCACCTGGACCCAGTCAAGGACAGGGGTTGTTTGATGCTGACCAGCGTGAAAAACATCAGCGTTACCTATTGGAGTGACATTGGCTTAAGCCTAGCCCCCATGTTGTGTGGTCAGAACTCATAACAATGGAGAGGCTAGATCCACCCCATCCTACCCGAGATGGGTAGGCAGAAAATTGGTTGCCTAGGCAACCAGGTTGACAGACATGTGACAAGACAGAGAAAGAAAGAAGAAAAGGAAAAAGAAAAAAACGTAAGTGAAGGAGCAGAGCCACAGGCCCTATAAGTTTTTGTTACATACTGTATACGTGTTTCCCTCCTAGGAGGAGTCCAGTGCAGGAGCAGTAATTCACCAAGAGCTCATCCCTGTGGAGGTGGATGACACGGAGAAGACCTTGTCTGAAAGGCTGAGGGAAGCAGAGTGCCGAGCCTTTCCCATTGCCCTGCAGCTGGTGGCCAAGGGAATGGTGCAGCTAGGAGCAGATAGGAAAACCTGCTGCAAATCAGAAGGCCAACAGCCGATTCATCAAAGGACATCAGAGGGTAGGAATTCATCAAGAGGTTTGGAACAGGTTGATGGGCAGTAGCCTTTGGCTAATAGCTCACCAGTGGGAGTGCTGGCCTGCTAAGGCTGCAGTCTGGGTTTTGAGGCCAGTCTCTGCTCCCATATCCCAGAAAGGCTGTTCCCTGCTAGCCCGATGCCTCTTTTTTTTTTTTTTTGCAGCCTCCTTTGACTGAAACTAGCGAGCCATTTATATACCCGTGAAACTTCTGATCCTGTTGAGCCTACAGCCTCTGTCTGGGAGGGGTGAGATGGGGAATTTAGGTTGCTCCATCACTGTCTCAGGTGGAATGGAGGGAGCCACTCGCCTCTCCTGAGGGCCTGGCAGCTCCTGGCTGGTTGGGCTCAAGAGTTCTTCTTTTTCTCTCCTGCATAGTGGGGAGAAGGCTTCAAATGGGGAAGCCAGGCTCATATGGCCAAGCTCCCTCCCTTCCTTTGCCAAAGGCATGGGTGACAGCAGGCTTCCCATATTTATTCCAACAGGCAACGGCAGGCTGGAAGCTGGGGCCCCTGCCTTGCATGGCAGCCAAAAAAGTACGAAGACCACAGCCTGGAGCAGCAGCTGGCTCTAGCCAGTGTCTTCCAAGGCATGGCTAAGTAGAGCCAGGGCCAGGGTCTACTTCTCTGGAACTGCTCTTGTGCAACAAGAGGCAGAGTTGAGAGGACGTCAACACTCCTTGGCTGATTGCTCAGTGGTGCCAAGGTCAAGGCCCTGGGTTTGAAGACTGCCATGTCCCTAGGGAAGTTGCTTCCACCCTGTCCTGTGCCCTGTTGGAATGAAACCAATGAGCGTATTCCTCACAGTATGTTCTCAGCTCTGCAGTTGCAGATTCTTTGCTGTAGCAGTGTCGGAACCTAAATCACCCTCTCGGGGTACATACCTCCATTTTCAGCTACATCTGAGAAAGGGGAATTTACTGTATACACGCACATATACAGCTGCAGTTTATTTTTTTTACACCCTGCTTCCTTTTATTATAGAAAGTAGTGCATTGGCTTCTGAGGGAAACTGTTAAAGGATAAGTTGTGTCGGCTGCTTTTGATTGTTCCGTCCGATTCCAGAAAACCATGGGCGTCCCAAGTATGCACACAATGTACGCACAGAAGCAGGAGCCATGGTACAAGAACTGGATGGCAAGGTGCTTCTGTTGGGCAGGCCTGGCTCAGGAGGTGAGAATAAGGGATGAGCGGAAATGCAAATATAATCAAAGGGAATAGGAGTCTTGTTGAACATTATTCCTTAACATCACCCTAGTTAGAGGTTGCCTCATGTTTGCCTTCTCCGTGGTGGATGTTTTGCTGCACATGATGGGGAGGGAACAAGGTTTCTGTTGCCTAGAAGGCACAAAGAAGTGTTCTTGATCAATTGTGAACTCTTTCTGCCTATGACAAGGCAGCCAAATACTGGCCGCATCAGTATCACTTGTTACGTTTCTAGCTCTAGTGCCCCAGGGTGCTGGTTCTAATAGCCCCCTTCTAGAGTCTTGTGCTCAAATAGTTAAAAATGCAGTAAAAATATGTTCTTAAATGCTTGAAAATGCTTAAATGTTTCATGGAAAATTAGAAATTAAATGCCCAGCTTCATGGAAAATTGTGGTTTTTGCATTAAAGTTGTCCCTTAAATAAGGTCCTTGAGCCAGCTGCCACACTGTAGTAGATAGCAGAGCCAAGAGGCAACTGTAACAGGCTTTTGAAAGGGGAAATTTAAGAAGAGAATCAGGCCACCTTCACCTGGCTTGAATTCCCAGGGACAAGGATTATTCCCTTGATCTTTCTTTGTTCTGTTGCAGAATTTAAGGATTATTCAAAAGATCATCTAATTTATTGAAAGGGAA